CAATCTTGTGCCTCTATGCTGGACCCCTGAGTGTTGACTATTGAATGCCCTGGTGCTTCCTTCCTCAAGTACTCTGCTTCGAGCCCGTGTCCTTCCCACTACTAATTACTGTCCCAACCACTTTGGCCGCCCTTGATTTTGATTTTGAAGCTCGCACGCTGAATCGCTCGTGCTTGCCGCTTGCATAGCATGCTATATATCAAAGTTCGCCGTTTCTGCGCCTCTGTTAATGTTGGAACCAGCGGCAAGGACGTAACATATTGTAACTGCCAGGTTCTTGCGGTCATCGCCGTGGCCGTCGGACGGTGACTGCAGAACCTGGCAACAACTTGAAGTACTGAGGGCTTCTAGTGGCATATAAATTGACAAACGTGATAAGTCTCAGATCCCTAAACGAAATCGCCTCATTTACAGTGAGTGATCAGACTTGAGCGACTTGAACATTGTGTTCATCTCACATTTAGCTCTTCCTCGACGTGCCATTATTAGCACCTTTGCGTAGATCACACCCAAACTTTCGGGGTGGGTGGTTTACCGGCGCTAATAGTCATCACTGACAATGACGCATACAATAGAGACCATGAAAATTCAGTTCGCTTACCTCGCCATCCTTGCCGCTGCCGCTGGGGTGAAGCCAGTTATCGCCCATGGTTCATGCATAGACATTTGCTACGAAGTTGCGAAAACCGCTGACTGCGGGAACGGCTACGCGGCCTACTGGTCGGATGTTAAAGGCTGCTACCTTTGCTGCGGCATCTACTAGCTGGGGCAGCCATCGAGTTTATACATATGATGCATTTCATCTACCTATCCAAAGCTAGTCTCCCTTAGGCAGACTAATAGAAGAAAGATGTTCCTCATCAAAGCACTTGAACCCTTGCTCCATGCGCATGCACGCTTCAGATATCCACCCAACTTTGTGTGTCAGGATAATGATATACCGCAAATGTCTTCCTTAGCGTGGGATACATGATCATACATGGCACATAACAAACTTGCGCAAAACTCAGTTAGTGTCCCGCAGTATTAAGAAACGGCGAATTTGGGACTAGGGCTGCGAAGGTTAGGAGCATCTCCCATGAAATATCTTGCTCCACTACCTGATTCGGAAGGAAAACCCGAGGAGATGGGAATTCACCGCCCTCTGTACCCGAGTCTCGATTGAGCGAAATGACGGGCCATCGAACTGGCTCGGTCGTACATTGAACATTTATTATATTGGTGTACGACGATCGATGATTAAAAGGTGGAGTCGACATGAGGTGGAAATCGACATGGTTCCCGTCCTTTAGATCTGGAATTTGAATTTCAGTATCGTCGGACTCGCACGGCGTCTCATCAGGACGCCCAAGCACGACTCAATGCTTACCAACCTTGTGGCAGTCTGATACGGACAGACATCAACATAATCAATTGTCGAGTTCATCCCCAACTTTGGTCAGGACTAAATTGTGAAGACCTACTCATTCTCTCCTCCTGTGTAGTTAGGTTTGTCCAATGCGATAAAAGCCTGGTCAGACTCGGTCTTAAGCGCTTAAGCTTTAGCGTTTAACAACAAATCTCTAAAATCAGAAAAGCTCGTCAGTGTATAATGGCGCCCGAGGAAAATCCCATTAAACCTTACCTGAATCCCTAAACGGACGGACGGATGGACAGACGCCAACATGGTCAACATCAACCATTAAGTCCATCCTAAACATAGATCAAGCATCGATGGCTGCATTGTACAAACCTAGCCTCTGTTCCATCACGACCCATGTCTTGTAAGTCGCCGTGCCGCAAACGAAAGCTATGTCTTCATCTCCACAATTTGTGTGCATAACTCGCAGTATGCGCCACAAACCTGAAGTCAATAATCTGACAAAATTAAAATACAACCATAGAACCTGACCACAGTCAATCTCAACAGACAGACGTCAACACGATCAACTCTGGACCAAGTATCGATCGCTGGAGTGAAGAGACTAGGCTTACGTCTCACGCCACCAGCGGGCTAAGTTGGAACAGAAGCTAGGTTTTCATCTCTCTAATTTGGATGACTCGGGGTGCCGCATGTCATCTGACACAGGTCATCCAACACCTGGTAGCTCACATGAGTTCATTACAAACACGCACAACAGAAAACCGCACCAGCATGGTGGCTACCGCCCAGCATCCTTATCACCTCCAGACTCTGTAATCACCTAAAGGGGGAAAATCCGATTAACCTTTCTCAGATTCAGAAAACTCCCACAGTAGACACCCGGTTTCATGAGGGGGTGAGAGAGCTGTCACACATCTTGCCCACCCTGGACTGCGTAGACTGTTGGCAGCGTGCGTGATGCGTGTATCGCACCATGATCGAGGTGCGACTATCAGTATCCGAGTCGTCTAATGTCCATCAGAAGCTTCCACGGTAGACACCTCACCAAGAGAAATAGAAGAGATGTGAGTGAGTGCATATCCAATCCAACCCACATGCCATCTTTTCCCCTCGGGTGGGTAATGATAGACTCCCAGCATGGATGCATGCAGGCGTGCGTGCATCGCACCATTGATGACCCCACCCCATTGAGTATGTGTCAGCGAGACCAGAAATCGGGACCGAGTACAGCCCGGCGCCACTAAGTATCCATAATCTATCCAGGCCTAGCCTCGATCAGTCTGTTCCACATTCGGGTTCCGGGATATACCGGGCCATGTATGTGAGTAGTACAGCGTCCGAAGAAGAAGTACTGATCATACCTGCAAATTGACATCATAGGATTAATACTAGTACAGCCATGACAAATAGCTGAACGTTGAACGTTCGACTATCAGTGGCTCCACGATCTCCATTTGCCTCGTTGGGACCATTGATCACACGGGTAGATGAGTTGAAGTCAAGTCTGATCCTGATCCGTTCAGATGGTGGAAGTCCAAGAGGGTCCAAGTTGCCAGTGGTGGAATACGAGTGCAGATACAGGACAAAGTTAAATGGGCGCTTGTAAAGCGAATAAGCCTTTTCTTGTGTGGGTGGTGGCGTTTTAGTTTGTTCCCAGAGGCACAAGCTCCACATTTCACCGATTGCGGTACTTATCGCAGATATCAAACGCGTCGGCGTCAAGATAGCTATTAGCGGAAGTCAGAAAGCAAAAGTCGGCGGAGTCCCGCTGTCATCACATAAATACAAACGCGAAGAGTCAGCGCCGGGGTCCAATAGCAATCATATCGCACAGGACGTGACCGTGAGCGCAGCATAAGAACAAGACGACGAGAACGCCATTTCGTGGAATCCAACGCGGCACGAACGCGAAGAGTCTGCACCGAGACCCAATAGCGATATGGCGTAGTATTGTAGCCGCAGAACAAGAACAACAAGCGCACCACTTTCTAGAACCTATGGCGGGTAACAAAAACAGAAAGCAAGAAGCGTAACAGCCTTGATCAAGAAGCAGAATGACAATAACCAATGACACGTTGATAGAAGCACAAGCGAAGATAAGAGTTTTTTTTGCAATACCGGCGGCATGCCAGTATACGGTCACAAATGGCGGAGCAGGCCGGCAATCGAATGAACGATGCGATATGTGAATGGTGAAGTGCATCCGGTTCTCTTGGCGTATATAGGTAGAGAAACCTTTTTAGGGTCGTGTGCGTGGTAGCTTGATGGGCGGATGGGATGCCGCCACAGAGGAACTTGGAATCCTGATGCAAAGAAACGACCCTGTAGAGGAAATGCATGCTACGGAAGCCAGCAGGGAAATGAATGAGAGACCGTGATCGAATTTGACATGTATGTACCTCGCAACTCGCTCTGCAGACGACGTGCGCATATGCATTGCATAGCGTCGAGCCATGCTCGATCTGCAACAAATGGGTACCGGAACATGCAGCCGAATGGAAGATGGAACAAACACCACTTGCGAATTGAAGCCGCGGGGCCGTAGCAGAGTGCGCACAGCAAGGGCGGTGGTGGAGCACGAGAGGAATCTGGAATTAAAATATCCAGATATCCCAACAGTTCAAGGTTAACTTTAAACACGTGTACAACATGAAGAAAACTGAAGCTGCATGATGGTATTTCAACTTGCTTGATTAATGACGGGCGTTGCTGGTGTAGATCTTGTTCTGCACATGTGCATTCCACCGCAACATATGGAGGTCCTGTCAGTGGGTGCACATTGCAAGAGTGCAGATCGTGAAAAAAACTCCATAGATCCACCATCCTGACGCCGCATGATGGAATTTCAAGTGGATTGACGATTGATGCAGATCCTGTCATGCACATTGTACCGCGACATAATAGAGCGCAAATGGTAGTGACGCATCGTTGGAAAGCTGTAGATCCAGCGTCCCACCAGAAGCAGGATTTACATGGACTAGCGTCTCAGATCTAAAATCAAGGTCAAAACGAGTCACCCCAGATTCACATTCACCGAGAAATCTGCTAGGGATATCTCATATCAACACAGATCCCAAAGTGCATGAAGAGGTTCAGGACTGTTCTCCCGGCGGCAGGGAGGATAAGAAGTTGTATTGATTGCCCCGTTGTGAGTGAAGAGGGTGTGCAGAGCAAGATAGGAACTTGTATTGATTGAGAGTGAAGAGGAAGGACGATTTGATACCTAGTCACGAGACTGGAGCGAACATGTGGGGAAAGGATTTTATTGCCCCGTTAGGGATACGTAATACCGTGGGGGGTTAAGGTGAGACGGCGTTGATGGGATCTATACGGCGGAGATAGTACGAAGGGGGGTCGAGTATCAGGGTCAAAACAATGCACAAAGGCCGCGTTTTTTATATGGCATATTATATTACCTAATTTAGAAATGTGTGGATCAGAGCGTACTAGTCGGAACCAAATTGGAAATTGACGGCGGAAGCAAATTCCTGTCTTGAAAGGGGCCCGGCGGAGTGTTTAATTTAGTAAGATTGAATCCTAATCGAGTGAAAGAGATACTAAATTAGGAAGTATAATCAGTTATGGCAGTAGAGTGCCTCGCATGTGGGGGCGGATTAGGGTTAGATTGCACATGAGCGTAAAACCCGAGTGAAAACGGTTCAATTCTGATTTCAATTCCTCCCTCAAGCGTCAATGGCAGACGTTGAACCTCGCTCAAAGACTCAACCAAGATCAACAAATGTTAGGTCAAGAACAAGTCCTCCTCCTAGCGAACATGATCAAAGACCACCAACAAAGAGAGCCAGAAAAGCTATCAACTGCGAACCTTGTAGAAACTCAAAACTAAAGTGTGATAGGTCAGTAAACGACGCTAATTTCAATACTAACCACTACTGACGGCAACAGAAACCGACCATGCTCGAGTTGTGTTCTCAGAGGTCAGTCCAATCCTTTTTTTCAAAAAAAAACCCACTGAATACCACCAAGGAACTATCGCATTATGCTACCAGGATGCTCGTGGTCATGAATCAGACTTGAACCTACGCTCAGATGACCAGTATGCTTTTTTTCCATTCAAACAAGTCTCATGTCTTCATGCATAACCAGAAATGCTTCTAGAGTGGATCCAATGCAAGAAATAACTCGTCTGAAACACAGCGTCTCACTACTCGAAACTTTTATCATTGCAAACCACCGAAATCTCCCATTCAAACGTCCACTCGACCCTCCACCTTCAGGTCCTCCAAGTCCACTCAAGAAAGAGCCTCAAGACTCTGACTCCGTTGATCGTGATAATCCTCCCGGCATGATCGGCTCCCAGGGACACGGCGGTTTCTACGCTGGCACTACTTCTGTCGTTACCCACCTCACAATGGTCAGTTCTCTTCTTCTCATCCATTTATCCTCCTCACACAATCCAGAACGAATCACGCGCTTCAGGCGACCCAATGGACAGACACCCCTCCATAGAAGGCCTCGTCACAGACGAAATCGCAGCTTCCACTCATGAATACGACAGAGACCTCCTAGAGGTTCTCCCAGCACTCGAAACAATTGACGCACTCATCATCTACTACTTTGAATACTGCAATTGGATTTATCGTCACGTAAACCAACCCGCATTCACTACCGCGTGGTCTCGCTTCAAGAGCGGCTCATCTCCAGATAGAGTCGTCCTCGCGACTGTCTGCATGATCATGGCTATCGCCGTTCATTACTTGCCTCACCGCGACCCACTCATCGCACATCTCGCAGATAACCATGAAGAACTCGGAAAACGCTTCTACGATGTCATGCGCACAGCACTCGATCGACATCGTGCAGAGTCCAGAACCTACACCCTCGAACTCGTCGAATGTCTCCTGATCCGTTCTCACTATCTAAACCTCAGCAAGACAGATAGTGAGGAAATTTGGGCAATTCGTGCCGAATTAGTCAGCATAGGCCTAGCAATGGGCCTACACCGCGACCCATCTAGGTGGAGAATGAACAAGGAACTTGCAGAGAGAAAACGTTGGGCATGGTGGCATATCATATTACTCGAACGGTGCGTTCCTTCGGTTCTCTTACGTACACGCCTAATTCTTCCCAGATGGCAAGCCTTCATGTTTGGTCGTCCTCTTGCCGTAGCTTCCCACCACTTTGACACCCAACTTCCCTCCGCTTCCCCCATCACGCCCACAAACCCTCCACAACCACGTCAACTCTACGCTCCAAATCTTGCACTCTTTCGCCTCGCCTACGTCTTAGGTGACATCATGGACACTGCCGTCTCGCTTCGCTCTGTGTCATACGACACGATCATGGCACACGATAAGGCGCTCGCCAACTGGATGGACAACTTACCTCAGGAGCTCGATCTGGACGAGTTCAGAATCGCGCGCGCCCTCGCAAGCCCAGACATCGTCACGAGAAGACTAGGCGTACAAAGCGTCATCATCCGAACAAGCTACTACCACATCCGCTTCACACTCCACAGACCATACGCTTCCGCATCACCCTTCCTTTCCTCCAACGACAAAGACAAGCACGAAAAATCCGATAAAGACCCAAAAGATGCCGCCAAATCTGAACGCCAAGCAAACAGCCTCGACATAGCAGTAGGCAGCGCCGACAAACTCATCACCCTCGTCGATCACGCCCGTCCAGACTTTCTCGCAAATGCCAGCCTAGCAGTACCAGGCCACATGTCCTGGGGACCCTTCCACGTATTCAGCGCCGCCATGTTCTTCTCCTTCCAACTCATCTCAAATCCCAACCAACCAGGCGCAGGTCTCTTCCGTGCAAACATCAAGAAAGCGCTCGGCACTCTCGAACTAAGCCGCGGACAAGCAGTCGCAGACCGCGCTCTCGATATCCTGGGCGCCCTCCAACCCCTCTACGAAGTCGGATTCGCAGACATGGAAGTAAGCGAACGCGAAACCGTCAAAGGACGTGTTCTCGGGCTCGTCAAAACTCTCGCATTCCCCTATCATGACCAATCGCGTTCATCACGGAGCGGGGCAGCCGATAGCCCTCCCAACTACTCAGGTGGCAGTCCAAGCGGTTACTTAGGCAGTCCAGCAGGTGGGTACGCAGCTGGGAGTCCTAATAATGGCGCAGCGGTTTTTGGCGGAAGCCCGAACGCAAGCGTGAGGAGGAATAGCGTGGATTACCCGCCTCACACACATACAGCTCAACCGCGATACGTGCCGCCTAATACGTCTCCGCCTTATCCGTACCCTGAGAACAGGGGGTACAGTGATGTGAGGGGGTCGTATGAGGGTGCGAGGTATGTGGATGGGGCTTCCAGGACGGTGCCTGCTTCTGGTGCTACGCCTTCGACGAGTACGTATCCGGATCCGCCGGCTCCTGCACCCGCACGGAATCCATATCCACCATCTGCGTCAGGGTCAGGGTCAGGGTCGGCGTCAGGGTCAGGGAATCCGTACCCTGCACCACCGCCACCTGCGCCATCGCAGACACTACCATATTCTGATTCTGTACGATCGTATCCGCCTCCATCTGATGGGAAACATGTTCAAGCACCTTACCCCGACACACGGCCCTATCCTGTGCAAGGCAGCATAGGGGGGAGCAGTTCGTCATACCCCTATACATACCCGACGCCAGTGGAGGAGGATTCGATGTGGGGAGCGTCGTTAAGCCAGGCAGAGTGGGCGCGGTTTCTAGATGTGATGCAGCGGCCTACAGGGGAGAGGGGATGAGACTTGAACATGGGCATTAGCAGCAAGACGTGCTACATGTAATCAACCCGCCCGCTGCCCGCTGCATACAATCACAACACTAGGCACGACCACTACGCCGCAACCCACTGCGACGACATGTACGTTTTCATTTTCATTTTGGATCTAGATACCTATACCAAACCTTTACCTATCTGGCATCTTTGCATCGCACTTTCTAGCTACCCGACGCTGCATTCTTAATTATCTCCCATGCTCCATATACGTTTCTCTTGTGCACTATCCCGTGCCATGTCCATATCCATCGCATACGCGTAGTTTCCTTTCTTTTTTTGTTTGGTTGTTGTGTCATCGAATGAAATTTCGCCGTGTACTTTTTATATTCTAGCGATATTGCATTGCATTCCCCACACACACGATATGTACACCGACACCAAGCGCCAATTCCCATTCCCCACACCAAGCCACTATTCCCCACACCACCCACCCTCCAGTTCAATCCTGCGGGGCTTGAAGCTTGAAGCTTAGCTTGACCCCCAGCTAACTCCATCGAACGATGACCCCCCCATCCCGTCCCAACGCACCCCTCTCCCCGACGCAAACCCGTTACCCACCTCTTTACCCACAGTACGACGACCCTTGTACACGTGTCCGATCCTTCCGCTAGATGTACGTACGACATACTTACCTAGTTACCTAGTCTTTTTTGGTTCTTCCTACTTATATACTTATTGCATTTTTTTTCTGTGTATTGCGTTTTTGTGTATTATATGCGCGCTGTATCCATGAATTGAAAGTCTCCGAGAGGACGGTTGGATTTCTTACATATGTTCTACACTAGCTCCAGCATGAATTTGAGAGAAACCGGACTTTTAACAAGGGCTCAGCCTACTCGATTAACTGCGCACTGCGGCCTCCCAACAGGTTACTGCAGGGGAAATACATTATACATATGCATGTTCAATTTCAACGGCACCAAGGAAATTTGTAATTCGAGATCTCGTTACAACGCATATGTGCAGCCTCGTACGTTATTAGTTTCCTCAGATCTGACCATCACATTCCGTTCTTTTCAAGAAGGTGCAAGTCTAAAAGGTGTCCGAGATGAGGATAGTCGGATATGTAGTAATTGTCTTATCGTGCCGGAGGACGCACGAGTTTCGAGAAGACTTCATTTTATTTGAGTTCCGAAATTCGAAGGGGAGGGCTAAAGGCATCTGAATCTTGGAGCTGTGAGACCAAAATGGTACGTAGTATTAACTTGTGTATACTAACAAGAGAAATCGCGGATCCTACGCTAACGCGACGAGGAAGGTATTCAATGGCAGTACTATCGGAACCTAATATCCAGGTCTATCTTCAAATTTTTTTTCTATTGTTCGTTGCCCTCATTATCTTCCTCAGATTCTAGCCTGTGTACTAAATCCTTTCTTAGATTTTAGATTTGTTCACAAACATCTCTTTGGACGACGGGCAGCTGGCCCGTGTCCACCCTTGATGCATAGCCAGCATTACCCATGCTAGTCTCGAAGACGCCACAAAGCGGCTAAGGAAGTCTTGCTGTGAATTCGAAAAGGAGGGTTCAGACCATTCTATGTATTCTTTTTTTTGACAAGTGATGTGTATTATTAGCGGACCCCTGCACTGCAGACGGCTCAACATGCATAGGCTCTGCTACGGAAATCGCCGTACAGTACCGTACTGGACATCACGAAGCCCTACATAAAACGCACATCGCGAGACATCTCGATATCAGTAATCAAAGGCAGCAGATGCTGACCGTCAGTGCCTGTCACATCGCACTTAACAAACGCCTACATCGCATATCAGATATCCCATTGATCAGCCAAATGCGAGAAGTCTAACGCACACGAGGAGACCGTCCACCACTTTATGTTAGTTTGCCCTGCCTTCACACAACGTAATGCGCTGCTTTGACGTTCCCGTTTACGCCGGAACCATTGTTCAGAACTGATACATACATTTACATACAAGTCGGTAATGTCCATCATGGGGCTCGACCCCAACGGACATTAACCAAGGATCCAAAAAAAAAACCACACCTGCCGTCAAAGATGAGCTCAGTTCCGCCTGATAGTCCCCCCATCACTCAAAGTCGGAGTCGAAATAACTATCGGGCAGGGCACGTTTTTAACCGCTTGAACCCTGGTCAAAGTTCCTCGCGACGCTTCCTGACAGTTTGCCTCTAGTCGTACCATGCTCCGCGTCCTTCCCCATTACCATGATAACAATCCGGCCCAATCGTAGTAGATCTTGACAAAGGGATGTTCGTAAGCACCTGACCGGTCCAAATACAATAACGTGTTTGCGAAGGTGTTATCATCAAACTTCTGTAGGAGATCGATGTCGGGTTTTCTGATTGATCAGGGAGAAGGAACAGGTTGGACCTAGATAGATCAAATTAGTTCTTCTGATTTAAATATGAGAAGGTATATGAAGTTCTTCACCCGGGTAGCACACAAATTGCATTAGCCGAAATAATATGTAGCAGTACGAGTCGAGAGCGGTTAAGCGGGACTCGGCGTCAAATTGCCCTCGGTAAACGAGGAGACGGGAACAACATTCATGTCAGTGGAAGAGAGACGCCCTGTCCGATACAGACGACTACAATACTCTGGAGCTCGCTTTGGTTGTCTATTCCAACCCAGAGAACAGTCGCAGGGCAGACCGCCGCTGTATTCCATTTTTCAGGGGAGAGACCGGGATCCCGCCAGAACAATGGATCACCCACTCGAGCGCTGTAGCCCTCAAGCGTTGTGCGAATATCAATTTGGCAACATACAACCTGTCCAGGGCAGAGGGGAATGGTATCTGCGCATATAAGGGGACACGACAGAGAGTCTATAGAGGAGCGCTCAGTCGAAAAAAGATGTCCAATGAAAATCAGCAGACCTGACAAAGCCTCAGCTGGAATATTCCACTCGATCGTGGCAGAGTCCAGTAAGCCAGCTGGTGCAAAAGTTTCTTGTATTTGCAAACGCAGCAGCTGATAGTCTGGCAGTTGATCAAACTTCAAGCTGCGTGCATAGTCAATCAATTGACCAGAGCAAGGTAGTGCATTGGGGGACACGTCAGCGCCGCTATGTTACTGCTTTTTGATCCAAAACTGAACTTCCTGATTCTTGCTTGTTCCATGTCGAGTGTTGTATGTCCATGGAAGGTCTCCCACAGCAAGACTGAGGAGCATGTAGCCAAGAGATTCTATATCGTCACGCGGAGCTAATCCTACAATCCTGTCAGGTAAGAGGGAAGCTATAATACTGGATCAACTTACGAATGTCATAGTGCATATTCAGGCTGACGTACTCCAGTGTACCGATGCCATACGATATCAGGGGTACACGAGACTGGGTTAGGCCTCATGTGCAATATCCCGAGCGAGCCCATACTAGTCGACCAGGTACAAACGCCTGGAATCGGTGGGGTGAATGAAGATGTTCCCAGTTTTTAGGCCGCAGAGGACAAGTTTGTTCTTTTGTATGTGTTCGAGAGCTGAGATCCAGCGCAGGTCACCATGAGTCTGCTAATGGACCAGAGATCGCTATGCGGCTACATACCATTTGATCAGCGACCACTAAGGTGTTTACTACTGCCGGTAGAGGATTGCGTGCCCGCACTTCATCAACGTCCATCCCGAGAAGCTGCATAGCAAGATACTTGAAATGCTCCAATCGTCCATAGGCAAAACTTTTGGGATGGAAGGGTGCCCCTGCAGGACCCGTCGCTCATGATTCAAGAGGGTGGATTTGAGTGCAAAAGATGCCCGGGACTTCTTGACGGCCATAATCTTACCTGTAGCAATGAGAAAATGTCAGGCAAAGAATAACAGAGGACAGCATGGGTGTACAAAGCTTCCATGCTCAGCAGATGATCGGCTCGGAGACACCAAGATTCCACGGCGGTCTCAGTATCTTCCATCTGGATTCTCAAAACAAGACAGGGGGAGTGCAATTACCTTGCAAAGCATGAGCCGCGTATGGTGAATGTTTCCTAGTGAGAGTGGCCTCGGTTGATGGGAGTGGACGCTCAAGAAGGGCAGTGACTGTCGGACAAGGCGAGAGTACTCATTCAAAACTCCACTTCCGACGAGCAAAACTGCACACGTGTAGCAGGTCCCAATTGTCTAGCTGGCCGTGTTTTGATTAACGACCCGTAGACTGTAGCTGTCATTCAACGTGTGCGATAAAAATAATATCTAAGGCTAAAAATATGTTGATTACCAATTTTATCTGGGATTTCTTGATGCATTGCAGGCCTTGACTAGTGACTGCGACTCGAAGGCGGGCAATGTTCATCAACATCACCGTGCCGATTTTGGCGCTACAATACGATGAACGACAGTATATGTAGCCCGAACACTAGATCGTTATGACCCTCAACATTCCCAGAACACTTCCATAACCTGCGACGACTCGGCCCATTGACAGGATCAACCATTAGGGAGTGCTGATAAAGTCTCATGTGCTTTATTTTGTCAGGTGAGCTTGTAATCTGAATGTCCCTATCTTCTTCTATTCAAGTTCCCCACACGCTAGCTTGGTTGGTGTCTCTTGCTTCCAGCTTGCGCTTCTCTCTCCACAGCTTGAGGTGCGCTGAACCTGTCACTGACATCTACTTGTAATCACCGTTCATTATTTCTGCAGAGTTCAACTTCTACGGGAGCTTGGATACTCACTGATGCCTTTCAAATTTTAGCGGGTGTGCAGATGTTTGTGCTGGGACCACGCCTCATTCTTAGCGTTCGAGAATATCACGCCAAACTCGTGGTGGACTCCGACGCAGAAGTCAACATGAATTCAATTGTCTTTCAGGAGCGTGTACATGCACCAACTAGCAGTATTATGTAGGAAAATACTTTCCGAGTATCATGCGGGGAGGAGAAATTTGGTCGAGGATACGCTGTGGTATTTTTGTCTGCAGGTTTCGGGCCCCACCTAGCTTGAACACCTATGAAATATTTTATCCCAGCTTACGATGCCGGAACAGTTTCATACCCAACACAGCGTATTGTCTCGTTCAACGATATGGCTGGTTGTGTGAATGCATCGGACTGACGTATCTCTCCGTTGAATCAATCTACGCTTAGGAATGGTCTCATGTTTAGGGCATACAGAGTCTCCCAGCTCCATGCTCAGGGGGTCTCGGTCACGTTTATATTGTAGTCAAAGTCGCGGAATACAAGTACAGTCAAGGACTTCGAAATAGAGGCTCGAGAGTCGAAAACAAGAAATATTGAAAACCGAGTCTTCATATCACTGCAAGAAATCAAGGTACCTCTCACGAGAGGGGTACCAGTGATTCAGCACCGGAACCAGCATAAACGCAGTACATCTTCGCATCCGGCAGTGGGTGATCGCTTGTCCCTTTTCAAAAGTGTCAATGCATCATCATCATCATGAGTATACAAGTACCTACCAGCATGACAGTACGGAATTCCATCCTCCTTGTGTCCCCACCACATCACAGGCGACCACTCATCCACAAGGTCGGCGAGCGTCTGGAGGTGGCCGTACGCAGCTGGCTGGGGACCGGACGGTCGGCGTAGTGCGACGAAAGTGAAGAAACAGGCAAATATAAAGAGCGCAATGCATAAGTTCCAGATCTGCAAGACTGTGTGAGCATGTTGTAACAATTTTACATACAGTAACAACAAACCTGGGCAGTGTATATAGATAACAGAAAACCGCGTAGGGTGTCGTTAATGGCGGATTTGCCTATGGTGAATGAAAGCCCAAATATCCAGTCTGTGATCGTCAAGGATAGTGTTCAATAAAACTGACAAAAAATACTAGGCGTAAATGACTCACGCAGAAAAGGCTTCACGATGAAAAGTATAACACAGCTCGGTTGATTAAAAATCGACACCAGCGGGTTCGTCGTCACTCTAAGTCCTTGCCTTCTGGTAGCGCATCTCCACTGTCTTTCGTCTCGAATGACATTCACGATGAGCTCCGAGCAATGCAGCCCAAGCGTCAACAGTCCCTGGGCAACCGCGATGTTGACAAAGAACAGAATCCACCCCTCGGGACTGCCACTCAGTAGATCATACATGATGTAATTATCCTCAGAATTTGGGAGGAACGACCACGTTTTTAGGGCCAGAGTATTGCCGCTGGAAAAAAAGCGGTCCGAGATATACATGACGAGTGCGGCCCATCCAGCGCATGCTGTAACGATAACCCAAAGAAAAATGACAACTTTCCGGATGCTAGGGTGAGCATCCCAAGCAGAGGGCTGTGTCTCTGCTGGCTTCGCTGGTCCTTCATACGCGTCTAGGTCAGACACACGACGCATGCACCGGAAAGGAATGGGGGTCAATTGTGCGTGGTGGACTAGTGCGGCGGTCAAGTCGAAAGGTGAGGAGCTCCATGTCAAAATCTTGACCGCCCGCATCGCTGCTAATGCGATCATCACCTGGAGGAGGAGTGCGACGCCTAAAATGAGAAGAGGTAATCCGGCGATGGCGACGCCCGCGCTATCTTGTATGATGGATCCATCCAAGCTGTGTGAGACTTGCTGATCCACACATAAGATGAGTGAGGGCAGGCTGTAGGATGCAGTGAGGAGGACAACCGAGATACCGTTAAGCAGGGAGCCATTAGGGTTACGCCATCCACGAGCTGCGGTGAGAAGGCGCAAATTGGTGTTGAAATGAAGCCGAGACTCTGAGGCTAGCGCAGAGCGCAATGAGATGCCGTGTACGAACCCTATAGACTCGGCACATAACGTGACGATTGTGGCAAGCATCAGGCCGGATATATGCAACTGCAGCGACAATTGAAGAGGGTAATTAAGATCGACAATGCTGAGACCGAGTGGGATTACTCCCACAATTCCGTGATTGGCTACAGCTACAATACCTGTAATGATGCATAAGCAGCCGAAGATACTTGACCATGCTATTCCGACAAGGGCATATTTGCGACTCGTCAGATTGCGGTCGTACAAATCGGTTCTAGTATCAGCAGTGGGCTTCGCATCAGATATTGTCGAGTCACAGTCCTGGTGACCCGGGAGTGCGTTATATGGAAGAAGGCTGGAAGGATGCGAATTTTCTTCCATCAGTTCGGAAGAAGCTGCCATCATGATGGGAGGCAGAGACAGGAAGGCCAGCATATTATAGACAAACAGATTAAATATGTTCGCTCGCGACCATAGCCTCTGGTGCATTGTGACCCCGAGTAGTTGTTGCAACATTAATTTACATCGCATTGCAATTAGTGTTCAGCATCATGGTCGGGCCTGGCTTGGCCTGAAAGCCCTTCCCTGGACCTAGCTTTAAAGGAGCTTAGGCTTACCAGATTCCAAGCATAGGTCGTGAGACCAAGCCAGCCCAAAGCGGTGGCTTGAGCAAAACCAGCAAGACATCCAAAGTTGTAGTATAAGGTTTTTTATCGCACTACAGTGCAGCAATACTGAAAGTGCACATGTCAGGATGGTGATCGTTGAGAGCCAGTCAAGCCTACCGTCCCTTGCAATGTACTACACACATGTCCTTAACTCGCCCAACTCAATGATAGTTTATTTCTCCAGTCTTTTTTTTTTCAGCGCGCAGGACGAAACCTGTCAAGATGGGAAGGCATGTAGGAAATGGCCGGTCTGTGTCAAGTCTGCGCAGACTCCGCCCCAAAGTCTGGTCTAGGCAGAGTCTGGGCCCCGGACATGTCTGGATCTACGTCAGCCACTGTGACATCAACTACCCTTGTCAGTGGCTAGCCACCCCTGCCATCTACGTCACCCCGTCAGCACTTCAGCCACCCCTGTGTCACGCATCAGTAGGTGCAATCAACGACGAGTCCGATTGATGATATCCGCAGGATGGGACTTGGAATATTGTGGAGCTGCAGTCGATGATATGTTGTCTGTGGGCACGGCAGGCAACGGGATGGCGGGGAGCTGACGCTAGATTATGACATCAATACGGCGGGCAGACAAACCTAAAATTTGATTATCCCTTTGATGAACTTTCCGGCACTTTCCGGACAACTGCTGGCAGACCTGTCTCCCAGACGAGTCTGTGACTTGTTTGTGTAGACCTCACGCAGATTGGCCAAATCCCGCACTTTCTGCAAGATAAATAGCAGGATAGCTCAGCTGCCAGTGGGACAGGTCTTGACATAAGTATTGAAATTACTAAGAATGACAGACCTGGCGGAGTCGGAAACTGCCAGCGGGGCGTCCGTCGCGTCCGCGCTCAGCGGGTCTGTCACAGACTCTGGAAGTGATATTGTCTGGGTGGCTATGTAAATCTAGTGACATAATGCTCACGCTTGAAGTCATGGTCAATCTGGTCTTTGGTCACCTACAAGCAGCGACTGCGCCAGTACCTGTTTTTACCCTGCCGGGTACTATGAATCCACATCATAACACTGAAAGCGGACACACAACCTCGAGCGCTGAGACACCTGCCATGCCTGTCAACGTACAGAAAATCCCATGTGGTTTTCAGTGACATCGCTATCTGTCCCCAATGGCTCACACCTAAACACGTCTTTTTGCGCTCGCAAACAAAGATGTGGAACTCCCTCACCGTACGGAAGAAAGGAACCAAGCAGAGCAGACGTAGTGCACTTGATGATGCGTCCCTTGTTATGAAAATGCTTCTCATCTTCGCGATTGCTCATATCTAGCCTCTATTGCCTACTCTTCTCATCCGACTTCAACTTATTCAGGTGCTGCCTTGTCATGTCCACAGCATACATACGCTCCACGTTGCTGTCAGTGACTTGATACATCCGCATCATTTCCTGTCATCTTGGTTTTCTGTCCGATATCTTCCCCTTCGTCAAGACAATAAAGTTATGTTCAACTACAAGACAATGATACGATGCTGTGATTGCTTCATGCATGGTTTATCTGTTATAAATCTACCACGGTCTCTCAGACTTTCATGACTTACTCCCCCAGACTGCATGCTGTCTCGACAATCATCGACAATGTTGTCATGCCTGTCCGCCTCAGCATTGAAGGCCAGTCCTCGAATTCTCATGATGGAAAACAAGAATGAACATTAATCATTTGACGAGTGCAAGCCTAAATCTACACAGCACAAAACAGAGCACGATATGATGAGATCCAAAAAATGGGTGTTGAAACGTTGAAACCCGATACGGTCTGCAGGCGGGCGCCGTGCTCAGCAGTTGAAGCTGGGGTGCCAGGTATAGTACATAGCATGGGAAAGAGTATCGGAAACAAGGAAACATCAGTCTGCAGCGCTCAGGAATTGAAACTGGCGTGCTAGATGCCGT